TAATGAAAGCCATTATTAGGGTCAACCTAAATCCACAGTCTTTGCAATTTTAGGATTTTCTGCTACAATTTGGCTTTGAGCTTCAGAGTCTGGGATTTTGTATTACAAGTATAAACTTTGTTTTGAGGAAGACAAGCACAGAAGTTGTGTGGTTTTTCACTGACATATTCAACAAGTGTTATACTGAGGGAAAACCAACAACTTCTGTGGCACGTAAAGGGCTAAGAGCTAAATTGAGTTTTACATTCCAGTTAGAACAGAGGCTTTAAATCAACTCTACTTATGTAAGTCAAAATATTAGATATTGTTTCTTGTAAGCTTTTGTGAAGTGCAGCTCATTTTATTAGATGCATGCCGCTGGCTTGACTATGCACTGCAGCCTCAGCTGACACATGCTGGTATTTGTACATAGGTAAAGGGATACACAAAATATGAGTATAGCAATGATCTTGTGGTAATTTAAGTTATCAAGACATGGATAGGAAATAATAACATAGATAATCAGATTCACACGTGTATGGTGATGAAAAATATGTGCCCAGTCCAAGTAGGAGTGATAGAATTTAACTGCTAGACTCTAGATGAACTCAAGCATGTGTGTTGGGAGGAAGAGTTGCATAGAAATGTAAAAACACAAGGAAAGAAATCTCCCTAAATTTAGGTGAAAAACAAAAGTTATGTCATAATACAGATATCCCTGCAGAGATAAGCTGATACATGGCGTGAGAAAAGAATCCTTTGTCACTATTGAAGCCACAGGAGACAGGGTTGAGTCTTTTGATGAATTCATGTTCAGCTGCTTCCCCTCAAAATCTGTTTTTGAAGTTCTTTTGTTCAAGGACAGCCATCTTGAGTCAAAGAACATTTGTCCTGGGAGACTGAAATATTCATCTCCCGGTTTTGAGTATTTCTGTTTCTAATGTCAGGTGTATGTCTGTTTATTCTTTTGCATAGAGATTGGATGATTTGGCCTGGAATCCTTGGTAACTTTCACAAGATGCTTAAGACATTAAGTTCAGTGTGGTCTGATGGATTTGAGATATCCAAGTTCAGGTGCCCATTGAGCCCTAAAATACATTGTGTGACTTTGGGCAGATCATTCTCGCTGGGCCTAACCAATCTTATAAATATGCAAGCCACTGGATTCTCAGTGACTCTATAGATCATAAGTCACTTACGACAGCCTATAGAAAAATGCTGCCTAAAGTCTACCATATTACCCAGGACAATGATTTCACAAAAACTGTCCAGACCTCCCCCCCCCCCCAAAGAAAACCACAGCTTCTATGTGGAGTTTCAAGGCAGGAAAAGTAGGTGAAGGAAGCAAAAAAATGGTTTACCCTAAGGTAGCGTTCTTGCACCAACCTTGTTCAACATCTTTACCTAGGATCAGCCACAGCTACCACTCACAAAGAGCTTTATGTAGGCTGATAATCTTGGCCTAACAGCACAAGCAAAAGACTTTGACACAGTCGAAAACTAGCTTACGAATGCCTTGAAAGATCTCTCCAGCTACTATAAAGATAATCACCCTGTCAAGACCCAAGTGTGTACTTTCCACCTATGCAATTGTGAAGCCAACAGGAAATTGAAACTTACCTGGGAAGGCCAAGAGCTCAAACTGTTTCCATCCTAAATATTTTGGAGTCACCTTAGATCGAACACTAACATTTAGAAAACACTGCATGAACACCAAGCACACAGTAGCTGCACACAATATCCTGTGGAAACTTACTGGCAGCACATGGGAAGCAGACCCAAGTATGCCTGCCCTGTTTGGCATAAGTCTGTTCACATGATGCAGGTGAACATAGCACTGAATGAAACATGTAGAATAATCACAGGATGTTTCAAACCTACACCTATCAATAGACTCTGCAAGTTAGCTGGCATCCCCCCTCCCCCAGATGTGTGATGGAAAGTTGCTGCTAACTGAGAGAAATAAGGTGGAACACTGTGAAAGCCATCTACTACATGGCTCCTCCCAGTAGACTCAAATCAAGGAAATGCTTCATGAGAACCACCACTCCTCTTAATGTTTCCCCAGCAACAGCAATAGCATCCCTCTGGGCAGCTAAACTAGGAAATCCCAATTGGGTGGTCCCCGGCGAGGGTCTGCCTCCAGGGGCAAACCAGGAATGGTCAATTTGGAAATCCCTGAACAGACCGAGAAGTGGAATTGACAGATCAAAAGACAACTTGGCAAAATGGCACTACCTAAAACAATGCTTCTCAACCTGTGGATCCCCAAGTGCTTTGGTCTACAACTCCCAGAAATCCCAGCCAGTTTACCAGCTGTTAGGATTTCTGGGAGTTGAAGGCCAAAACATCTGAAGACCCACAGCTTGAGAACCACTGACCTAGAAGAATCCTTCACCTTGTGTCACTGTGGAGCAGAACCAACAACTTCACACCTATATACTTGTCTACAATGCCCTGCCTCTTGTACAGAGGAAGAATTATTTAAAGCTACAGACAATGTGGTTGCTGTCACCCGGGTTTTGGTCAAAAATTATTTAGCCACTTGTGCTCCTTCTATTTTTATCAGTTTTATACTTATGCATGCTTATAGAATTCTTGTGTAAGATACATCTGTTGAAGCAGGCCCATAGCCAGGATTTCATTTCAGAGGGGGGCTGAATTTTTTTCAGGGGGGGGGGGGGTTCGGGGGAGCTGAGTTTCGGGGGGGGCTGAGTCTGAGTGAAAGAGGGTCTAGCTTAGCAAACCTTTTGTATCATTACCCCAATACCCTCATGCATATGGGATATATTGAGTATAGTTATCAGATCATGATATGAATAAACATAACAGTTTAAATAATGCACCAGTAAGGCCTTTTCGCAAACCACCATGAGAATTTCGGGGGGGGGGGCTGAAGCCCCCCGAGGCCCCCCCCCCACCGGCTACATGCCTGCGTTGAAGCAGCCACTGCATTAACTGTCATGCCATGTCACATTGCCATAGGATGGTTCTGTGGCAAAGATAGTATGATTTGTTGTTATGCATGCTTTTACTGCCCTGTATATTGGGGGAGGGAGCAAATCACTGTAGCAGATAAAAACTTGTTGAGGAATGTCTGTGGTAGGTTGATTTTGTTTGACGGAAGCTTTTTCCTTGATTGCTACTGTTTTTTCATTTGTTTCTGTTTTATTTTAAATTGTTGACTGGCATCCTGCTAATGATGTCATGATATCTCTTCCTTTTTTGCCAGTGGGAGGGAAAGGTTCTCGTACCCCTAAAAGCCCCTGTGGCCTGCATGCCTCCAACGTGGCCATTTAATGGCCCATGAAGAACAGTGAAGAAATGTAGGATCATTGCAGAAGAGAGGTTATGGAATTCTTCCTTGATAAAAGTTCGGGGCTGGAGAGGAAAGCATCCACCAATAGACATACGTATGATCCACAGGAAACAGGAGGGGAATAGTGTAATGGAAAAGAATTCTGTTTGTTTATGCTATCTCCCCATGGAGAACCTGAGGATTTACATTTTTGTGCTTTTATTCATTATATATTTTGTACTTGAAAGCCATATTGAGTTTCATTCATGGGAGAGAAGCAAGTTTCCAAACTAGCCTCTATAAGTAATCATTTTCCTTGAGATGTCCACACTCATCCTACCCTTCTTAGCCAGCACCCTAGATGCCAACATGTGGACACTTCTCTGACACTTATATCAGCACTGTTGAGAAAGCCTCCTAGGCAGAACCCAAAACAAATGTCAGAGGTGTCAGAAGCTATAGCTGTGTTTCCTATATATATATTTTTTTGCTGGCCCTGTGACCTTAAACTTACCTTCTTGCCTTGGGTGCAGTACAAGTGCAGTAGGAGCCTCCAATGACACAGTGGTTTAAACCCTTGTGTTGGCAAGACTGCTGACTGATAGGTCAGTGGTTCAAATACAGGGACAGTGGGTTGAGCTCCCTATGTCAGCTCGAGCTCCAGTGGGGACATGAGAGAAGCCTCCCACAAGGATGGTAAAACATCAAAACATCTGGGCGTCCCCTGGGCAACGTCCTTACAGACGGCCAATTCTCTCACACCAGAAGTGACTTGCAATTTCTCAAGTCGCTCCTGACACACACAAAAAGCAGTGCAGTGAGAGCCACCTGCTAGCCAAGTCATTGCCATATGTGGAATGGCAAGAACAACTTCAGTTGAGCTTCAGATGAGAGCTTCATGCAGACTAGATTTCTTCTTTCCTTTGCTAATTGTCACTAGATGACAAAAGTAATATTTGTGCGCTAATCACAGATGGAGGCTTCTCCTCCCCAGGCAAACGAGTCTTCCTAATCTTCATGCACTGAGTGAAGGGAAATGGAAAGTAGGAAAACTTCTTGAGCAAAGAGTCTGTAATGGACCCATTAAAACCAACCTGAAATTGCATTCACAAATATTGTAACAACCTTGTGGATAATAAGTGTGGTATAAAAAGCACATTCCTACCTAAGTGCTAATATTACCGAAGGGTGTGTTCTTGTCAAATAACATTTGGTCCAGTAATTGTAAAAGGCCATTAAACATTTACTGAATGTTAGGATGGAATGGAAACACGTACATTAAAAAAAAAGATACACTTGTCTCTTTCCAATCTCAGTTTCAGAATTAGGGAGAACTAAATGTTCCTCCAGTTGAATGCATTATAGTGCTAACTCTTTTAGGACTTCCTGTGCAAGCAACAAGTCAGCTTTACTTGAGCTATCAACTTTCAGTTCTGTCAGACTACAGTTTCTATTTTTTCTGCTAAAGAGTTCATGATGGCTATCAAAAGGTGAAGGCTGTAGTTGAACACATCTTGAGATCACCAATTCCAGAAAGGTTACTCTAAGTGACATACTTTCATCTCACTGTACTACCCAACACATGGGAAATACATATATAAGGCTAATTTTGAAATTCTTTATTAATATTTCACTTAAGGCCAACTTTTAATGAAATAACCATTTGAAACAATTAGTTTGAAAGAATATTTTATTTCTGAGTTTTACATTTCTAGCATTCTAATTTGCGATGAAGAGTTGATTACATGACAAAAACAAAGTCATGCTTAGCTATCATTGTACCCATATATTTGACACTGGAGAAAATACATTTATTCCAAGGACCTGGTTCAATGTTTTATGTGGACATTAGGATTTAATCTTAAAGTGGCACACAAGACCAGATATAATTATCATTGGCTTGACTGGAAGACACTACAATCCGAAATATGCCAAGAAAGGTCAACATACTCACATTTCACTTCAAAAGAAGCACACTGTACTACAACAACTATACTTAGCATACTTCAAAGCAACTACACTGACTTAAAGATGCACAACATAAAAGGCCAATATAATTTTCAGTGTACATATAAACTTTAAATGTTTGTTGTCCATTATACTGAAAGATATATTTTATTTTTAAAATACCAATAACATTACCATAATAATAATGAAATCATTGCATTTCACTGTGGAAGAGCTAAGATGTCCCTGGATGTGGTGGGAGGGGAGACAGAGAAGTTGTAGACTCCAGAACTGCATCTGAATAAATTGAATTTGATAATTGGAAAAAGAAACCCATAAAGTGGAAATTAATGTACCTTAATAGGTGAACTGCTTTTCCAAGTTATTACATGATAATAGAATTGGTTGTGATGTAATCTTATTAGCAGCTCATAAATTATATATGTATTTTTAAAAATCCAATATATGTACAATACAGATTTGTTTGTTTTGAACTCAGTGTAAAGCACTCCATTTGATGTGGCTCAGCAAAAAAAATGTAGTATGCATTGAAAAAGCAAAGTCTTTGAATACATCAAGCAGGATAATTTAGACTGTTTTAATCATGATTATGAAAATATAATGAGGCAGTTTCATATTGGTTGGAAAACACAGAAAAGTGATTCTCTGAAAGCAAAAGTATATATAAAATGACCCATGTTTCTTACGTATACAGATATACATATGAGTCTATTACTGGATTTCAGGAAACTTGGATAGTAAGTAATATATTTATAAAACATGCCATTGCTTTTAAGATTCTAGTAGGAGTTTTATTGTATGAACATTGATTATACTGCAGTGATTTGGAAACATGTTTCTTTTCAATGTGTTTCAAAGCATTAATCTGTGACTTGAATAGGGGGAGGCAAATCCTCTTACTGGATTTTAGACTTACCACTATATGTGAAAAAGTTGTACAACGAAGCCAACCTTTTCTGGAATTAACACAGTAGTTGTTTGTTTACACTGGCTAGTGTTTGACTGTGAATGTTGTTTCTTTTTGAAACATAGAAATACATTGTTCCTAATCAAATACATCTCTGACAACTAGTAAATACAGAAAGAATTACATCTAGTTTAAAGCAATGGGCAAGTGTTCAGCTCATAGTGGGCAGGACAGGAATTGGGAAGGTGGTTAATGGGCTGTTCATACTGGCAAATCCTTTATTAAATCACCTTTTCCACCTTACATGTAATCAATGCAGTGAGAATGGGAAATTTGATATGCTAGTTGCATGCTACCAAAAGCAAGACCCCCAAATTGTGGCTTTGAAGTGAACTCAAATGCTTTGGAACCAACGTGAGTGTTGTGTTTGGTGTGGTACTGACCACAGTAGATCTATGCCTATGTTGCTCTCTATAGTTATACCAGAAATCTGTATGACAGACATAACCCTCCCCCCCCAATTGGAGACTCTCTACATTGGCAAAGAGTTATATCACGTCATTGTTACCTGTCACAGAAAGCTATCAAATTGGTTCAGGATTTCTCTATTAGTCATGGATAACCAAATTTCTTTTCATCCTAGCTGTATGACTTAGGATGTTAACCCATTGGGGGGGGGGGGTATCATATATCTGTGGTGTTATGTCCTGTTGCATTAGAAAGCAAATCATATTGTTTCTTAGATTCCATCACACATTGTTCTTTCTTGGCTTTCCCCCCCTAAAGTCATCCATTTTCAGATATATCACATGAGCAAGTGCAAACCACAGCCATTCCACAGCTGATTGACATCCCTCTCTGTTTTGTTGCTTTTTTTCAATTTGCCATTCTTGGTGATTTTCCCTGCTACTTACCAGACTGGTGCAGTTCAGAACTCTGGCTTGGAAAGAACTGTTAGATACCAAAACAGGTCAAATGCATTTGTTGAGGGATCAGGGGAGGTCTCCTTCTCTGGAAACTTTTGAGCAGAAACTGGATTAACTGCTTTTCAGGACTCTCTTTTGATTCTATGACATGAAAGTCAAGGAGAGAGAATGGGATGGGATGAACAAATTCATGCACTTGTTTATTTATTATCTATTGTACTTTTCTCCAAAAATGGAACCAAAGCAATATATAAGTTAAAAGAAAAGAGCTAAAACAATAAGTGATAGAAAGGATTTAAAACATTTAACAATTAAAGGAATTTTATTTAAAACAGTTAAAGCACATTAAATGCACACTACATATTAAAAACGACACACCTCTTGTCCATCCACCAGCTATAGATTGAAAGCCTCTTTAAATAGGAAGGTCTTTGCCTTCCAGCAAAAAGAGAGTAGAAACAACACCTGCTGAGACTCCCTCAAGAAAGAGATCCATAATATAAGAGCAGCCACTGAGAAAGGCTCTTTCTTATGTTCTCTCATGACAAGCCTGGAAGGAGGGTGGGACAAACGGAAAACCCTGGCCTGAAGATTGGGAAGCTCAGGCAGGTTCCTTTGGGGAAATATAAGATAGACATCTACATCCCACTTCTAGTCACAGAATACCAATATTATCCTTCTCTTCCTTTCTGTTTATTTTTGATAAGCATTCTCAGCTTTCATTCACAAATTGTTGCACATCAGAATAACCACAAAAGATTTTGTGTGATACTTTTTTTTACAGTTTCCTATTAACCAGTTAATTTCTTACAATAAACTAAAACAGTAATATCATCTACAGGGAGAAAAAAAATCATATAATATATCACTGTTGTCCCTCCACATTTGCAGTTTTGATGATTCATGATTTGATTAAAACTGTTCTTTCTTGGAATTTCTGTGTCCTCCATTGTGACTTTATAGTCAACTTCCTGCCATCATGCTGAAGGGCCTAGAGATTTCTAGAGAGGACAACTCCCTAGGAATCTCAAGGTCCCCTAATGTGATTCTGTGTTCAGCTACCCACAGAAGTTGACCATAGAGCCATGCTGAAAGACCTAAATGTTTTTTTTTAAGTAATTTCTTTATTTGTGGTTTTTCACTTTCACCGAGGTCTCAGGGAATGCGGAGGACTGACTGTATACTATTCTGTATAAATATTACATCTGTGTTGATAATATACTTTATTTATATTCCACCCTATCTCCCTGAGGGGACTCAGGGTAGAGTACAGTACACATATACAGCAAACATTCAATGCAGTTATGAAATTAACAAAGACAGACAGCACATAAACAGAGGTAAAGGGTTCCCATCGTTTTCCATCTCCAACATCTGGAAGCTGTGTTCAACTCCGGCCATGGGGGAAGGTGCTGTTGCTCCATCTTCCATGCCGAGGAGCTTTGTTGTCCTTAGATGCTCTCCAGTCGAATTGCTGGCATGTCCTCATGGGCACATTTTATTACCTCCCTGCCAAAGTGGTTCCAATTTATCTACTCACATTGCTGTTTTTGTGAGGTGAGCAGAAGCTGGGCTGATGGTTGGGAGCTCACCCCTACCCAGGCTTGAACTGTCAAACTTTCAATCAGCAAGATATTTTGCAGCTGGCGGTTTAACCCACTGTGCTGAAGCCCAGCTTGTTCACAAGTCTTCTGAAGGAAATGTGTCATGCAGTCTACTAAATGAAGGACTGTATATATTTTTTGTAAGTTTCTCTCAGAATTAACAATTTGTAACATTTCACAGCAAATACGATCTTTTAAAATGCATAAATAATACATTAAATTAAAATTTAAATATATAAATTTCAACCTTACCCATTACAGGTTTTTAGCTTTTGGCTCCATGTTATAAGTCTTGAAATTGTTGAATTTTATTAAGCGAATGGCTTTTCTTGTTGTTGTTAAAGTAATAAATATAAATGTTTTGCATCCCAGGACTGTTTGCAGAGTTGTGTTAATCAAACTGTACTGGCTTTTCCAATAATCTCCAGCAAATTCACTTCTGGCAACCTAACTACTTAAGAAAGTTTGTAAAAGTTACTTTTCTGGAGTACAGCCATTATGGTGGCGTGATTTGGACAAGAGTGGGGGGATTGTAGCTGGAAAGACTTAACTTTCTGAACTCTAGCCCATAGGCAGTCTAGTACCTGACAGAGTGGGCACTGGCCCATGAAACCTTCTACTATGATATATGTGTTGATCTTCAAGGAATCATAAAACTCTTGGGCCTAATGCTATTTCACGCCTTCCACCTATATACTTTGGTACAAAATGTGATTCTGTAGCAACAGGAATAGCCATGAGTTCTCTGCTGGTGAATCCAATCATTGTAGCCCTGCTCAATTGCTAACTAATACCATGTAGCTCATTTTGGAAGCAATTTGGATACCAGCAAGCCAGCCCAGTTTTGTCCTGTAATCTGAAAAGAGGCCTGGCGATCGATGTTTATTAACAGCCTACAATTAAAGTATTTCATTAATAGTGCAATGAGTAACTAACACACACACACATACATACACAAACACATACCACATTATGTGCAAACAATTTGAGCATTCCTGCTTTTATGCCATCTTACTTACAAGGAACATCCAGCTGTTATAATTTGTCTCATCCTTCACTCTCTTGTAGAACCAGCCTTTGTTCCTTTTTTCAGTGCCAAGGACTTGCTGAGTTCCACCTGATGTGATTTGTCCAGGCATTAATAATGCATCTTCAAGATGCAAGATGCATGAGTTCCTTTTGAAACAAATCTGCTGGCAGAGGACTGCATTGTATTGTGCTGCCTTCTCCCCCCACCTCTCTCTTTTGCAGTGGAGAAAGGCAGGAGAACCAAAAAGAAAAAGGAAAGGTCATAAGGCTTGGGAGTGATGGGTATCCATTATTATAGGAAGGTCACCGCATCCTCGTCTGAGGTCAGGCTCGGAATAATGAATATTACAGCAACTATTCCTCAAAAAGCACTGTTCGTACCAGCCAGCCAGCCAACAAATCCCTGTGGTTTGAACTGAACAGACCACAGAAAAAGAAAGTCATTGTGGATAATCTGGAAAAGTAGCCTCCTCCATTATCTTTCCTGGAGAACAGGTGAACAGGGCAGTGCATTTATCCACTCACCAAGTGATAACACTGGAGGCAAACAGCGCAATAGTAAATGAATTCTGCTTGAATTCTGAATACGGGGGGAAGTACTCCAACCCATGAAGCTCTGGTATCAAACAATGTCATATTCATTAACAATGCATAGAGCAGAGCACGAGCAGCTCAGCAAAGTAAACAAATTGGAGAAACAAGGGACTGTGGACTTCCAGTGAAGAGCTCTGTCGGAATTAGTCAATAGCTCCCAGTCCCACCATACACTGCTTGCTAGGGGTGGCCTTCCCCTTTCAGCCCCAACAGTTGGAAGGGAGGGGGAAAGTAGTACATTTAATCAATACCCTCCACTTCCAGGGTAGCACTCCTTCATTGCGGCTCCATCCCTGGCTCAGTTACCATGGCAACTACTCTCGGAGAGCAGTATGATGCCCAGTGTATACACATCGGCCATGTCACCTGACTGACTACCTGTGTCTCTTTTAATCACTGCTGCAAAGAAGAGCCAAGTAGTGGATTACTCCTACCTTCTCTTCAAGTCCACACAAAATTGACTCATTTTTCAGCGCTAGATTTCTATTTTCTGTGTTATGGACAGACTGTTGGTATATTTCCATTAAGAAATGTCCAGAACAATCAACAGGAAAGTACAAAGAGAAGAAAGAGACACCCTGTGGAAGTCCTGAATTTATCCAGAGCTGGACCTTGTATTAATTATTTATCATGTATTTTATTACAATTGTCAGACTTTTCAGCCACACGGTTATTTGCACTCATGGCTTGTGCAAAGTTAAATTGTATTTATTTCAGGGTCAATTACAACATCCAGATTAAGATCCCAATGTAAACCTCCTTGAATATTAAATTATGAATAACTGGAAGATTGGTATAATTGTTTATACAATGACATGAAAGAGAACAATCAGTTCAAAGGACAAAAGAGTTATGCAACTGTTCCCAATAATTTTCTTTGTTAGTCTGTGTTCCTGTTTCAAAGGGGATATGATTAGAAACTAAACCCAATCCTAAAACATTCATTTGGAAATAAGCAGATTATTTGCAGATAAATGCCATTCTAAATTAAATTACATTAACATGTGAAATTACAGCTATTAGTCATCATTGATCATTGTAGCCAATTAGCCAACAGCAATCAAAGTGTCAGGCAAGAAGATTATCTTGGATTGGCTAGCTCCCATCACTCATACTGGCACTGGTTTAATCCGAAAGAGTCAAATCTGATTGAATCCCATTGATTCCATGAGAATTATATAGAGCTTTTTAAAAATGAATTCTGTCCAAATAATAAAATCAATAAATTTAGGAAAGATTTCCTTCTTACTTTCTTCACCATCAACAAAATACATACATTATTATAAATACTGCATATTCTTCTGAATATTTTACGACTGGAAACACTTAATGTTTTTCATTCTTTTTATCAACTTTATGTATCTATTAATCATATCAAATGCAAAAGAGGGTACAATTGTAATATATTTAAAAACACAAAGTTTAAAAAACTTGTCATTATACTAAATAAGTAGCTAGCCACTTGGAGTACCTCTGATGTTGCTATAAGATCATCCATTGGTGCATGTGGCAGGACTCAAGACTTCATTATAATAGGTGATCTGTAGTTTGCTCTTCTCCATACTTGTATGCCATGGACTCCACTTTGTGGCCCCATTTCTTAAGGTTGGCTTTGCATCTCGTGGTGCTAGAGTGCAGTCTGTTTAGTGCCTTCCAAGTCGCCTAATTTGTGTGCCCAGGAGGGTGTCTCACCAGAAACGACCAGAAGCTTTATGTAATAGAATATTTACAAATCAGAAACATACTCTTATTTATTTAGGAATTAGTACTTAAAGGGGTACACTATTGCCCATGTTATAACGACAAGCTTTAATCACTCTATCCATCCATCCATCCATCAGTCAATCAGTAGTCTACCACTGCACACACCTCAAGATTATAATTTAATTATTAATCATACCTGTTAAGCAAATAATCTGGATTCTGGTATCCAAGTAAATCCTCATAAAGTCTAGAAATGTGCTGAATTTCAAACTGATTTGGTAAAAACTGCCAGAAATACATCAAGTTTAAAGGTATTGGAAATTGAAAAGGTCCTCCCTTCTCTTCAGATTTCAAAAAGCAATGTCATACATTTCTGTGATTTTTTTTGTAAAAACCTTTGATATACTTTCTCAAATCTTACTTGAGGATGGACCTCCTTCGCTGGTTTCACGAAGTTCTGAGCAAGAGTTCTAAGCCATTAAAGCATTAAACCTGATATCAGAAACTCCTAACAAAAACATGTTGGGCACACTATTTCTGCCAGTTCTGTTTTCAAAAAAAATTATGTCTCCTGTTGAGTTTCTTTAGAAATCAAGAAGAAGTTATCAGTGTTTTATGTTGTTAGAAGCAAGTGACATTTTCAGGCACAGAAGCCCAAAATGGGGGTATTATATCCACCAAACTGCAGATATTTTTTCCATCATTTTATCCTTCAACTGAATATTTGACAGAAAATTTGTATTTTTAAGAATTATATGATATTTACAAAATTAGTTGCTCCTTTGAAGGATGTTGAGCCTGGTGTGTTTTCAATGAATAGATTCAGGGTGCTTTACGCAAGAGTAGTCCTCACAGTTTGCAAAATATGTCCACTATGTTAACTGCAAGCACTTGTTATAAAAAAATAACATACACGACAGAGTTGGCCAAAGTTAAGGCATCAAGAAAATTCCAGAAAAAAGCTGCCATGATTTTGTGGAAGGGTAGTCTTCAGATTGGGATATTGAATTCACTCTCTTTTACACATTCTTGTATTTTTGTGGGTTTTGGGAGAGTATATTCTAAGATAGCACAGTTTATGACATGGCACATCAGCTTCCAGTTTCCTAACTTTTGGCAACTTGAGCCAACACATAACCAGTCTTACCTTTGGTCTTAAACTTGTAGGCTTAAAATCATTTCTGTGCTCTTTATTTGCTTTTCCCCCACTGTGCATAACACTTGTTTCTCTTCAAAAAGTATATAACTTTTTACCAAATCTTTATCTTAAGTTTGCTTTCTCTCAGACATCAATTTGTTTCACAATAACAGTCTATTGGCATAAATATTAATTGACACAAGTTGTGCTCAATGCATTTGTCTTCCCCTAGAACCTAGAGATCATTTCTATTCATGAGAGGATGAGGTCAACCAGACACAGGACCTCTCTGTCTTCCACGTAACTCCTGTCTGCAGCCTTCAGCACAACCTCAAGAGCTTGCAGTTCTGCACAAAAAGGATGGATAGAAAGAAGAACTAATGATTTCGTTATTTTTTTTTTAAGAGGATAGTCTAACACTAGGCAAAACACTAGAATGCATCTTACTTCAATAGCATCCCAGCAGAAACCAAAATACATTCAGGCAAGGTGATGTAGGTCATTATTAGCAGGAAAATGAGGAAAAAGGAGAGTGTGCACAAGAGAGATGTTCTGTCTTGGTGGCCAGGCCTGTTGGGCAGATAACATACACTAACCCAGCCAGGAGAAGCCCAGCTGCCCCACACAAGCCCTGGAGGGATTGGCTCCCCTGTCATCTCCGAAGCAGCCCTGTGGCACCGGAGGAACTGCCTAGCCAGCGAGGAAGCAGCTGGTCTTGGCAGAGAGGGAGGAAAAAACACACACCAGTGCCTGAGGCAAAAGCAAAGCAAGTGGGTGAGATTGACTTTGAGATATATTTAATCAGAGAAGCTGCCCCCATTGCGTTCTCCCAGCAAGAAAACATTATCTTTATATGCTAAGGCTGTTAGGTATAAAGAAAATGCTTCGCAATATCAATAACTTTTTATTGTCTAAGATTTTAATAAACATACTGTCAGCTTTCTATCAGTGTGATATATTTTAGAATTGAGAAACCTTACCTGCTTATTTTCCTGAAGCAATTTATTTTAAGAAAAACCAGTCATATTCTGAGTCACTAGTTTGAAACTTGTTTGCTTTCTCTTATCATTGTGATTCAAACCAAGATGGGGCAACTGAAGTGGTTAGTGCTAGATGGAGTGGCCATGTTGGAAGCCTAGTAGAATAAAAATCCAGAGGCATGTGGTAATTCCTGTTGTCTACATAAGTGCTTGGAAAATTGGTGCAGTTCCCAGAATCCCTTTGCCAGTAGCTCTTCTATGTGATGGATGCTGGGAATTGTGGTGTTATGCTGGCTGGGATATTTGGGTAGCTCCCTGCTCCCAAATAACTGACTTTAGTTGTACCTAGGTTATACGTTTTAAAGGACAGAAAATCTCTATCAGTATTAGAGGTAATACTGTTCCGTTTCTAACAAAACACAAGAGTCCAATAAAATAGAAAATTAGAAGCCTAGACACATCCCCAGAATATCAGTCTTGTAGAATAATTTAGTACTGGGACCAAAGGGTAGTTGTAAGGTGGAAATAGAATTTTGCCAAGGAGAAAGAGCAGATGGTCTTTTAGTAAGTGCTGACCAAGTAACTTCACTTTAAGTGGATACATATTTGGGTGATGACAAAACAATGATTGCTAGTGGCTTCAACATCTATTTTATGGATAGGATTCAGCACCTGTGATAGCTCCTTTAGGGTTTACATCAAGACTGATATGAACATCACCATCACACCACAGTCTGGGTGAGTTGAATCTCTATGGCCATGGACTGTGTTTATATGGGATAGAGCCCCTGTCAGCTCCATCCTACATAGAACACAGTCCATGCCAGGGGCTCCATCTCACAGAGCTTTGCAGATCATGTTGGCATAGTCAGTGACTACAATGGATTGTATCTCCAGATTTAAATAAAGTGGCTACTGAAAGTTAAGGTTTAGGTCTGGCAAAAGAAAAGTGCTCCATTTAAACACAAACATTTTTAAGGGCCATACAAAACTAGAAAGTGTGTATACACTATATGCAATTCTGCCATGTCAAGCTTCTTGTAGTTTCTTCTGCCACTGATCTCATTGTTAATTAAACATGGTTTCATCTATTAACCTTTAGTCATTTTGTAATTATCATC